AGCACCGGGTAGCAGCTGTAGGAACATGAGCTGCCTGTACCTCAGCACCAGTGGATCAAGAGGGGGGATCTCAGGGAGGAGTGAAGGCTCAGGGGACATGGGTCCTGCCTGGCCAGTGTGGCTCAGCTCATGGAGTGCAGTCCCAGCACCAAAAGGGGGGCAGGACAGGTAACAGGATGATGTGCTCTGTGAGGCAGTCACACCTGAGAGGGGTCTGGAAAAGAGCATTTAGGACACGTCAAAGGTGTGTTAACCCAGATGCACAGGAACAATGGACAGAGCTCGCTTAAGGCAGACACCCCTTTCAGACCTGGAGCATGAGTGCCCATTGGGACCTGCCTACCGTGTTTCCCCCAAAATAGGACATCCTCTGAAAATAAGACCTACTTACAGGTTTCCTTCTGAGTGAAATATAAGGCATCCCCCTGAAAATAAGCCCCCCCCCCCCTAGGCTCTGTCTCAGAATGCTATTGCTAAACATGAGAGATTTGGTCCACTGATTCTGAAAGAAATGGAGCACAAGAAATTCACCAGGAAATTCAGGAATTGGATTGTTATGATGATGTCCCAGAAGATGATGACATGATTGTCATTGAATAAATGAGTAAATTCTTGATACTGTAGGATTCACAGTTTGTCTGGTTTGTGTTGACAACTACCATACTACCGTATACAGGTAATAAATTTTTCTTATTTTCATTTAACAATAAATGTGTACCGTATTCTTCTTCATGGAAAAATAAGACATCCCCTGAAAATAAGACCTAGCATATCTCTGGGAGCAAAAATTAATATAAGACACTGTCTTATTTTTTGGGGAAACAGGGTAGTTAGCAAGTTATGATCAGGTCACCTTGTGAGCTTACTTTCTGTCACTAAACTTGTCAGACTGACCACATGGCCCTTTCTAAAACTGAGGTGTGAGAGGCAAGTCTGAGGTAAAGATGAGGTAGGGAAGCGGGGGCTTTAAAGGTTGGTAATAAGAGGTGTTCAGTAACTAGTAGTCTGCCCTGCCAGGTAGATTGGTTAAGAATGTTTCTGATAAAATCTTATTATGGGCAAGTCCCCTCATTTAAATTCTTCGAGAGAAGTAAAAGGTTCTCATGAGCCTGCAGAATCTTAATTGTCTTTGGCTCAACATAATTCAAACGCTAAGGCTCAAAATAAGACAAATGCTAGGGTGACACATTCTGGGGAGACCAGTTCTGAACCGCTACAATAGCTATAGAGAAATTTAGCTTATCAGCTTGTGAGCACCAATAGAAATATTTTTTTTATATTCATACAATTATCTCATTCTTTTCTCCTAAAATTCCTTTCCTCTCACCCTGTAATCAGAACATGATGTGGTTTCTGCTTGAATCTGTGCTTCCCAAATTGCAATACATCTAAAGCCTTATTGCCTCGAGCTTTGGCTCTTTAATTTTTGGTTAAGATAATCCTAATATTTTTACAAAATATTTTAAGGGTTAGCCTTAGATAATTTCTGTTTACTTGTATACAAATAAATAACAAAATAGCCAGAGCACATTTATCTAGAAGTTACAAAGGAAAACATTATTTTAAGAGCCTTTAAACATGATAACCATGAAAGAACAGGGTCAGCATGCTAAGCAAAGACCAACTTATGATAAAACAAGCTGGATCATCCAAGCAAGGCCAGTAAGAAGAAAATGTTAAATAAAGAACCCCAGAATATTCTATTAAGTTAATTTCCCAATTATCAGTTTTAAAAAAATCATAATCCTTTTTGTAAACTTCATACTTATTAGCATACTAGAGGCCCAGTGCACAATATTCATGCATGAGGTGTGGGTCCCCTCAGCCCAGCCTACACCCTCTCACAATCAGCTTGCTAGCTTCTAACTGCTCACCTGCCTGCCTGATTGCTCCTAACTACCCTCCCTCCCAGCCTGATCATCCCTAACCATCTCTGCCTGCCAGCTTGATCACCCCTAACTGCCCCCCCTGCTGGCCTGGGTATCCCCAACTTCCCCCCAAGGCAGTCTAGTCGCCCCCTTCTGCCCCCCTCTGCCAGCCTGGTCACCCTTGTGTCTCTCCCCCCCCCCCAGCCTGGTCACTCCTCACAACCTTACCTGCCAGCTTAGTCACCCCCAACTACTCCCCCTATCAGCCTGATCACCCCACACAGCCTGCTGCTGGTCGTCTATCTGGTTGTTTTGTTCATGACAGTCCATGGCTTTTTATATATTAGGTCTAGTAATAATTAATGTCGTTTTCTAATACTTTTTTTTTAAATCGAATTTATTTAAACAATACAACAAAATTTAATCAACAATATAGTTGCCGTTGTTTTCTACTATCACTTGTGCCCAACGCTCAGGAAGCATTTTAATCCCTCTGTTGTAAAATTCTTGTGATTTTGATGCAAAAAATTCGGTCAATGCATTTTTGAGGCATTCTTCATTATTAAATTTTTTTCCAAGAAGAAAGTTTTGCAAAGAACGAAACAAATGGTAATCGGAAGGGGCAATAACAGGAGAATATGCAGGTTGAGGGAGAACTTCCCATTCCAACTGGCGCGGTTTTTCAGCAGTGATTCTTGCAGTATGCGGTCGTGCGTTATCGTGGTGAAGAATTACGCCCTTCCGATTAATCAGTGCGGGTTCTTTTTCTCTTAAAGCTTGGCTAACCTTTCCAATTGGGCACTATACACTGCACTTGTAATGGTTTGGTTAGATGGTAAAAGTTCATAATGAAGAATTCCTTTAGAATTCCACCAAACACACAACATCACTTTTTTCACATGCAAGTCAGGTTTTGGCGTGGGCTGCGGAGCCTCATTTTTGTCCAACCATTGAGGCCGCCTTTTCAAATTAACATACAGCACCCATTTTTCATCTCCGGTAACAATTTGCTCTAAAAACGGCAAACGGTTTTGACGAGAGAGGAGCGAACTGCAAATTGTGACTCTTTGATTATGGTGGTTGTCGGTCAACTCATGAGGAACCCATTTTCCAAACTTTTGGACTTTGCTAAGAGCACGCAGTTGACTGGAAATTGTTTTTTGTGAACAATTTAAAGTTGTCGCAAGCTCTTGTTGGGTAATTTGAGGATTTTGCACCAAAAGAGCTTGAAGAGCTTCTTGATCAAAATTGGACACACGGCCTCGACCACTCTTGTCATCTAACGAAAAATTTCCCTCGCGAAATTTCTCAAATCAACGCTGGCATTTTCTGGCGCTAACTGCATCTTGACCAAGAGCACTACAGATGTTTTTTGCAGCCTCACTTGCTTTTCTTCCTAATTGGAACTCGTAAAGCATGCAGTGCCGAATATGCTCTTCATCCGCCATCTTCTTAGCCCTAGTTTTGCAACAAAAACCAAACCAAACACAAACTTTTTCAAGCAAAACTTGTTAATTGCACTTCACACGTTCTGTAGATACCACGTGTTTGAAGGTTATGTCAATACAAGTCAACGCCAAGCAAGATTTTAAACGAATGTTTTAAAACGACATTAATTATTACTAGACCCGATATTAGGATATTTTAATCCTAAATAAAACTGTGTAAGATTCTCATTTCACCAATTAGAAATATAAGCAAAGATTTCTGATATCTTAAACAATAATTTTAAACTCTAATGAAAAAATAATTGGATGCCTGAACCAAATTATTCAATCATTCAAACTCATTCATTGAGCACCTTGCCAGGAGGCATTCTGCTAGAGTTGGGGACCCAGCGCAGCAGAGGTATACGGACCGGCGCCCTGAACGAATCACTGGAGCCAAGATCCTGAGTGGGCACCGTCAGTTAAGGCTGGGACTTTGTTTCAAGAAGGCTTGTTTTCTCTAGTCTGTACATTACCATAAGCCCAGCACACCAAGGCTTCTAGTCCTCAGTTTGTGTGCTTCCTTCTTAAGTAGAAGAAAAGCTCCTGAATAAAGTGATTGCCTGTAGACCACTAGATATTCAGGAGTGTTGCAAGATGCTTGTATCCAGGCAGGTACTAAGCGACTCTTGGGTCAGTGAATATATATCCCTGCAAGTCAAACAGAGATTTTTATGTTTCCAGGTTCCTGTGGTCTCTGTGATGGCTATTGGTTCTTCCCTAAGGATAATGGAGTAGTAGTTTATATTGTTACACAGGGCAATCACAGGAGATTCTGAAAATTAAACAACCAATGAGATGTCAGAGACATGACACAATTGGGTGGGGCTTAGACAGAGAAGAGAGTATTTAAAGAAAATTTAAATCTGTCAAGAAAAGGACAGAGTGACAGAAAAGGGCAGGGACAATAGAACATTAGGTAGGAATTAAAAAACCACCTAGTTTTATGCTTTCATTGTCTGAATGAGAAGAAAATATCTCCAGAGGGAAACTGACTTTTTAATGGCACATAAGACTTAGTCCATAGAAGCTGAGTTAGAGAAAGATGAACAGAATGAAGGCTGAACAAGGAAGATGCTGAAAGTCAGAGAAGAGAGTCAGAAGTGGAGGGGAATGAGAGGCTGAATTGGTGTCTAGAATTTAGGGAAGGGTTCTGGGTTTTTTTTGTTCTGTTGTTAGATGAAGGAAGTCAGAATAGAGGTAGTACGAAGTAGTTTTATTTAAACACAAGCCAAAGACAAACTTTCCTGAGAAAGAAAGAACATCTGTAACTGAAATGCTGCTTCTGCAAATTCCATTGCTAACTGTTCTCCTCGCAGCTGGTGACAATGAAGATGGTAAGAACTCTGGCCACTGCCCTGATGGGTACGAATGTGTGTGTGTGTGTGTGTGTGTGTGTGTGTGTGTGTGTGTGTTGGGGCGTCCTCAGAACATACCTGGAGAGGAGATGTCAGCACAGTTCAGCGTATCCTGTACTCTGGGACCCTGTGCCCTTCTGAAGGTTGTCTGTAAAGCATGGGGCCCTGGGCAGTTGACCATGGCTTCTCTTATCTCCAGATTCTGAGTGTTTCCTTCTTGGCCCTTTTCTTCATTCTCTCTCCCTCCTAATGCCTTTTCCCCTCCTCATTCTGTTCTGTTGCCACAGCCTTCCAGGAGCAGATCTTCAAAATGATTTACAGTTCATCCTTCTACAACCGTTCCTGGGTGAAAAGTCGGCACTCTGCATGGTTGGGTGATTTGCAGACTCATGTCTGGGACAGCAACTCTCAGACTCTCATTTTCTTGCGTCCTTGGTCCAAGGGCAACTTGAGCAAGAAAGAGATAAAAGAACTGGTAGAGTTCCACCGTTTGTTCTCTGCTCAAATGCCCAACCAACTTCACAGACATGCCCGTCAATGGCAGCTTAAATGTAAGTTCAATTCCCAAAATGGGAGGTGCAATGTGCTGGGTGACGGGGGGGGGGGGGGGGGGGGGTAGGGGGGGGGAGTGTCTCAATGAATTCCTTATTCCATTTTTTTCAAATCACATTCAATCTCTTCAGCATTCTCTGTCTATACAGTTATTGTAACCTATTGCATTTCATTCACCCTGGGTTATTATCATCACAACTCTCACACTAAGTGCTTCCTTATTCTCTTGCTCTCATCATTTATGTCACCTTCTTTCAACAATTTGCTCATTTCTATTTCCAAAAAAAGAAGTCATTCATTTTTTTCCCTCTACCTTCAATTACCACCAGTTACACTTTTTCTGAACTTTTGATCAACCAAACTTTGTCCATTACCTCAAATCCCTTAAACTTCTTTCATTTCATTTCATTTCATTTTTTTTTTTGCTTCTACTATTTCATCTTTACCCCCTCTTTCCTCTAATTTACAACCTGTCTTCCCTAGATCCCTTTGAGATTCAGATAACAGGAGGCTGTGAGCTGCACCCTGAGAAAGGCATGGTAATCTTCCTGAAAGTTGCTTATCAAGGATCAGAGCTCATGCACTTCCATAACAATTCCTGGCTGCCATCTGTAAAGGATGAAATTACAGCTCAGCCTATGATCAGACGAGTCAATCAGTACCATATCACCAACAGAATAGTACAGAGGCTGCTCAGTCACTCCTGCCCACCTTTCCTCTTGAGTATCCTTGACGCGGGGAAGGAAGATCTTCAGAGAAAAGGTCAGTCTCATATCCTTCCTTTGGGAATTTTCTAAAATTATACCTTCCTACCATCCCTTTAAAAATGATAAGGGGGCAAGAGGGAGAAGGATAATGCATGAATTCTCAGCATGTGATAGATGTGTCCATCTAAACTGATGTGAAGAAATGAACCTCCAAGTCTATGTTAGTCCATATCTGAATATCTCTCCTGTCCTCTGCAGTAAAACCAGAGGCCTGGCTGTCCACTGGCCCCAATCCCGGTCCTGACCGCCAGATGCTGGTTTGCCATGTCTCTGGCTTCCATCCAAAGCCAATTTGGGTCAAGTGGATGCGAGGTGAACAGGTACAGCAGAGCACTCAACAGAGTGGCATCTTGCCCAATGCTGATGGGACATGGTACCTTGAGGTTTTCTTGGAGGTGGAAGCCACTGAGACATCTGGCCTATATTGCCGGGTGAGACATAGCAGCCTGGGAGGCCAGGACATCCTCCTCTACTTGGGTAAGAAAAACTGGGGCCCACACTGGGAATGGGAGTGGATATTGGTCTACAAGCAGAGCAGGAGAGCCAAGTGAAACATTTGGGATTTATGGCCTCCAGACCCAAATTAATTAAAATAATTAATTCAATAAATAAAAGAGTTGAAAATGAGAGACCTGCAGAAGTAAGAAGATGGTGAGGGTTACATGAAAGATTCAACTCTGAAGAGGGAGGAGAGAGGAAAAAGAATAAAGATTAGTGAGGCAAACACTCTAATAACAAAGGCAGAGGAGGGAGAAGCAGTAAACAGAAGTGGGTTTGAAATGACACCTTGTGTGGACCCAAACCCACAGAACACCATCACAGCTCCAAGGACTGGATCATCCTGGCAGTGATGGTGCCCCTGGTGCTCCTGACAGCTCTTGCATTTTGGCTTAGGAAGAGCTGGTGAGTTTTTTGTGCCCATGTTTCCTGTTCTTTCATCCACTCCCTACTTGTCATCCCACTTTCCTCTCTCTCTCTCTCTCTCTCTCTCTCTCTCTCTCTCTCTCTCTCTCTCTCTCTCTCTCTCTCTCTCCTCCCACCCCTACCCCCCCACTAGTTCTTCTTTCCCCAGTCCCCTTCCTTTTACTTTCAATTCTCACTTTCATCTCTCTTCTTATCAGGTCACACTGTGAGCTTCCTGTCAGGCTTCTTCCTTTGAAATGAGATGCCAGCAGCCCTGGGTTGCAGACATATTTAAACGCAGCATGGCGACAATGTCTGCTCAGCTCTCCATGTACAACTTCAGTTGTTTATGTTTTGTTATTTGTGTATTTAATGATCTGTTATTAATATAAGCTAAAGGTAATCTTGCAGGACTTGCTTTCTGACCTGGTTCTGAGATTATAAAACTCTTATTTTGACTCTGGATAAAATGAGATCCTAGCCACGGCTACATATTGAAAAACTGATGAATCTCAGGCCCATTTCAGATGTCACTTCTTTATGGGGGCCTTCCCTGATTCACAAGTGGAAGCAGTGTCTGAACTCCCACACCCTTTCCAGTGAACTTTGCTGAATCTACTTCTCACTTTTATCCTCTGTTGCAGTTATGTAGGCCCCTTTTCACCTTCTAATTTTAAAGCTGAGAGCAAAGACTATGTCTTTTTAAAATTTGTATCATCTACAAAGTGTGTAACTGTATGTAATATGCTTTCAATAAAAGCCCGTGTTAAGTTGTGTTAAGTTTGCTTAGCATTTACCACAAAGATCAGGTACCTGAAGTTCTGGAGCAAGGAAGGAGGAAGCGAGGAAGTAACAAATGTATTTGGAGATGCTGCTCTTAAGAGGACACACCCTCTAATTTTACTATCTGACAGTTGTTGTTTTTTCTTTTTCTGTTTTTTTAATCCTCATTTGAGGGTATTTTTCCATTGATTTTTAAGAGAGAGTGGAAGAGAGAGGGAAAGTCAGGAAGAAACATCAATATGAAAAAAACACATCGACTGGTTGCCTCCTGCGTGCATGAGCTCTGACCAGGGTCAGGGCAGGGGAAGAGCCTGCAACCAAGATAAGTGCCCTTCACCAGAATCGAACTCAGGACCCTTCAGTCCACAGGCCAACGCTCTATCCACTGAACCAAACCAGGTAGGGCTAGCTTTCTTTCTTTTTTTTTACTTTATAGAGGCAGAGAGATGGGGAGAGAGACAGAAACATCAATAATGAGAGAGAATCACTGATCAGCTGCCTCCTACATGCCCTCTACAGGGGATTGAGCTCTCAACCCGAGCATGTGCCCTGACAGGGATCAAAGGTCGATGCTCAACCAGTGAGCCACACCAGTTGGGTGAGTCCTAGGTTTTTAATTACTTAATTTGTTTGAAGCTATCTTCTTTTAAATTGTATATTTATTTTTTTAATTTTATTTTAAGAGTGGGAGAGGAAGAGAGGGAGAGAGATAAAGAGAGAGAGAGAGACAGAGAGAGAGAGAGAGAGAGAGAGAGAGAGAGAGAGAGAGAGAGAGAGAGAGAGAGAGAGAAACATCGATGTGAGGAAAATACTCATTAGTTGCCTTGTACCTGGATTAGGGCCTAAACCTACAACCTCATGTGCCCTGACCAGAACTGAACCGCCACCTTTTTGGTATATGGGACAATGATCCAACAATTCAGCAAAACTGGCTAGGGCAACAGTTATTACTTTTGAAGTAACTGATGATGTAATTACTGGATAATTACAAGTACTTGGTTTCTTGAAAAAATAATCCAAATAAAATATAAGACAAGAATTGCAAAGGCCCTGGCCAGATGGCAGGTTCAAAAGCCAGTCGAGGCCATTGCAGGAGGCAGCAATCATTGTTTCTCTCTCTATAAAGTCAATAAAAATATATCCTCAGGTGAGGATTAAAAAAAAAAACCAATTGCGAAAACACATTCTTATAAAATTATTTATCTGGATTGACATTATAAAAAGCATGGCAAGTGCTGGCGAGCATGTGGAGAAAAGGAGCCCTAGTGCACTGCTGCTGGAATGCAGACTGGTGCAGCCACTGCGGAAAACATGGAGTTTCCTCAGAAAACTAAATATGGAACTGCCCTTAGGCCCAGAGGTCCCACTTCTAGGAATATATCCTAAGAAACCAGATACATCTATCAGAAAGAATAGATGCACCCCTATGTTCACAGGAGGGCGATTTGCAATAGCTAACCTCTGGAAACAGCCCAAGTGCCATCAGTAGATGAGTGGATGAAAAGCCGGTACACTTACACCATGGAATACCATGCAGCAGGTCCCAGCATGGAGGGACCCGGAGAGTATCATGCTTAGCGAAATAGCCAATCAGAGAAAGACAAGTATCACATGGTCTCACTCATGTGTGGAATCTAATGAACAAAATAGATCCAGAGATATAGAAGCATAGAACAGACTGCAGAATCTCAGAGGAAGAGATCAGCCAAAGACCTTGTATGCATGTATGCATAACCTGTGGAAACAGACAATAGGTGATGAAGGCCTGGGGTGAGGGGATGAGGGGGCTGGACATTCTAGTAGGGGTCACTGGGGGGAAATGTGGGATATATGTAATACTTTCAATTATAAAGATTTAATTGTTTTTAAAAGTTCCTTAAAACACAGTTTTAACTGAGTTAAGAAGATAGCACCTAATTAGGTTGTTATTAATAAAATATGTAATATAATTGTTAATATTATATATAAAATATCTTATATATAAAATATAAAATAATAATAAATATTAAAATAATGTGTTACTAAAACTCTCCCACAAAGAAAAAGCGTGGCTCAGAAAGATTGTTGAATTCACACATTTAAAGAAGAAGAAATACCAGCCTTACATTAAAACCTTTTAGAAAATGAAGAAAGCATTCCTCATTTACTTTAAGAGTCAGCATATTCCTACTACTAAAAACTTACAAGATAATTGCAAAAAAAATCAAACTATATATCAATTATTCTTATAAATACCAATACAAAATTCCTAACAAAATGTAATAGAATCTAGCAGTATATAAAAACGGTTATTAGATGATGACTATTTGGGTTTATCTCAGACAAGGAAGATTTTTTTTAAAAATTTGAAAACCAATCATTGAGAGGGATAGTCATATTTTATCTCAATAGTTAGAAATAAGACATTGGAAACATTGAGCATCCTCTTGTGTCAAAAACTAGGAGTGAAAGGGCACCTTCTCAATTTTATAAAGAGGGGAAAACCCCAAACAGCTAACATCCTACTAAATGGTGACATTTTTGCCTTCTCTTCTGAGGACATCTGCATTCATCATTGTAGTGAATGTCCCAATCTTATTAATTAAGAATTAATAAGACAAAATGAGAAATTAAAGCCGTAAGATTATACACCAAGAAGCTAACCATCGTCATTTGTAGAGGACATGACAGTCTATGTAACAGAGAACACTTACTCCTGTTCTACATGCTCTTTCACCAGGTCAGAGTCTGCATAGTTAGTACACAGTTTGCAGTTTGTTGGAGAACCAAATTAGCAGTGTAATACACTAATACAAAACAAAGGACTATTTTTGCTTTATCTACATCTTAAAATAAATATAAGTAGCAGCAAGACCAAACAAAGTCAAATACGTAGTGGCTACAACTGCATTTAGTACTGTTTAGATCTATACAAGTCACTTGAGGGAAACTGCATTTTTGTAGAAACAATGGCTACAAAATATAACTCCCAAAAGCCAACCTTTTTCAGGTAAAACTCAAGATTTGATTTGCCAATTAGTTTTTACCATGTATAATTTTTATAAGAATAAGAATTGATCTGTCTGAAGATACTTTTAATAAAATATAATGCAAATTGGGTCAGTAGAAATTATGTAACTGTGCTTTTAGAATAATGAAATTAAATTGGTTTCAGGAATTTACTTGGTATAATTTCTTATACATACTTTAATTTGGAGACCTCAGGAGAGTAACTAACAAAAACTGGAGAAATTAAGACTTTCAGATTACAGTGCAATGTAGAGATTTCATGTGAGGCTGTAACTATGGGGAAAAGACATGGGTAAGTACACCAGAGTCTAGCTTCCCACATCAATAGTCTACTTGCCAGCTACCATACTGAGTGTGCCTTATCTTCTCAAAGAGGTGGCTTAGGGTAACGGTCCCAACAGATGAACAGCTGCTACTGCAGGTGAACAGCGGCACATCAGGCAAAGGGAGTTGTGTTTAACTCACTGGCCTTATTTTTTAAAAATATGTTTTTATTGATTTCAGAGAGAGAGGGAGAAAGATAGGAACATTGATGAGAGAGAATCATTGATTGGCTGCCTCCTGCAAACCTCATACTGGGGATCCAGCCTGCAACCTGGGCCTGAACCCTGACTGCAATCAAACTGTGACCTCCTGGTTCATAGGTCGATGCTGAGCCACAGCAGCCAGGCAGGCACTGGTCCTAATTTCAAACAGAGTGAAGGGGAGCAACATAGAGGTTCACAGGCATTTCTCTTTAAGCAGCATTCAAGAGCTGTAATTTGATGCTTGTGAATGTTTGTATCTGAATAGTCATTACTATTTGAATACCTGGGAGTTAAACAGTTACTGAATAGACTTGCCTATGAAATATTTCCTATAAAAATAATAGATTTTGTGTATATATTATATTTTATATGTTTATTCATAGAAACCTGCTTGTAATAAAGATACATTTTTAAATATATATATATTTTATTGATTTTTTACAGAGAGGAAGAGCGAGGGATAGAGAGTTAGAAATATTGATGAGAGAGAAACATTGATCAGCTGCCTCTTGCACACCCCCTACTGGGGATGTGCCCGCAACCAAAGTACATGCCCTTGACTGGAATCCAACCTGGGACCTTTCAGTCCGCAGGCCAACCACTGAGCCAAACCGGTTTCGGCAAGATAAAATTTTTAAAAAGTTACTAATATTAGTCACCTCTTCTGCCCTGCCTCACATTCCTCAGTCCATTCCTGCCCAGCGACTGCAAGGCAACAGCCCTGAACTTGAGCTGCACTGGAGTCTTGTGCACTGTGTCCTGAGGCTTTCACATGACGAGGTCCAGACACCTGTGAGAAGGGATTACCGGGTCTGGGTGCTCAAACCATAGATGTGGGCATTAACGCCTCAGGGACAGTCCTTGACTTTGTGGAGTGGTGATCACTGAACATTTTTGTGAGTGTATACTGATAACAAAACATTCATTTCTCATAGGAATATA